CTATACCAAGCATATGTAGAATTTCTCAAAGCTGTTGAAAATCATATTAAATAATATCCATAATTGGTTAATAAAATAATAATAAATATCTCTACAAATCATTTTAGATATATTATTGAATTTTCATTGATAGATCTACTAAATCTTTAGACATTAGATAGAATTGATATTTCTTATAATCTTAAAGATATCACAATTCATAATCTCTTAAGCAACATCATTGAATCAATTTGGGTGTTGGTTTGGAAGTTCTGGTTATTTCTATTAGCTACATTAGTCCTCAGAATTGGAAAAGGTGAGGGTTCTACTTGAAGCTTTGAAGAATATCTTTTACTATGCTCTATCTTAATAGAAGTTTGTGACCAAATTGGGAATTTAGAGTGAGATTTCATGCCAATCTCAAATTAGTGGTCTCACTTAATAATTAAATATTTCTCACATGTGTTATTCTAATCTAATTAAATACCAAATTAAGATCTTTTTTCAATCTTAAAATAATAGAGTCACCTAATAATTGGACTTTAATTCAGAATTTAAAGATTAAAAAATAATGCCAAGGATAGTATAAGTAGTTTAAAAATCTTAATACATAGATACCACAAAAATAAGATGGATCCAATAAAAAGCAAACTATGGAGTAATTTGCAGCAATTAAATTTATCTCATAGACATCATTACTTTTTATAAGTACGAGTTCAATGCCAAATAAAAATTCATGCCAACCATCAATCCAAATTTAATTTTTACAAAATATTTAGAAATTAAAAACACATATCACAAACATAATCAAATTCTTCTAATGAAAGACATAGATTAGAATAATTTTTGATAAGCGTAATTGAATATTTTTGTATTTAATTATACTACAAGATGATATAATAGTTAAGATGTTATATATGAGAAACAAATAAATAAATACTTACTAAACTTAAATTAATATACAATTCATCAAGGAAAAAAAGAGAATGAATACTAATAATAAATAAATAAATAAATAGATAAAAGAAAGATAGATTGAAGTAATAATAAGTAAAAAATAAAAAAAAAATGTAAAATAGTTAAATAAAATAAAATAAAATAAAACAAAAATCTAAAAATCTAAAATAAAATAAAAATTTAAATTTAGTTTAATTTGGTATTTTTATTTTAATTATTTTATTTTATTATTAAAAAATTAAATATAAATATATTTATAATTTTTTGATTATTTTTTCTAAGATTTATTTTTTAATTTAATAATTTTAATATAATAAAAAAATAAAAATAAAAAGTAAGTAAAATATTGAAAAATCTCAATACTTCAATTATATTCTACTTAAGTCTATAACTTCATTCTACTCCAAAAATCACCAAAAAATCAATACTAATGCAATTGAAATAGAACTTATGCCATTGCAAGTCAATCTTCAAGGCTCTTGTGCTTAGAAAACATCACTTTTAAATAATCACCGAGCACTAAGAAATGCCTTTCTAAATATGAAGTATATAAGATGCTAAGGCATTGAACCTTCTTTTCATCAAAAATTGACTAAAAAATCACTTTAGTTTCAATTAAAATGTATAATATCTTTTCAAAAAGCTAACATTAAGATGAAAATATTAAAAAAAGAAATCAAATTCAACTACTCAAATTATTAAAACTAATTGATGAAAAATTGAAAGTAAATCAACTCTCAACTTAATAATAGAATGTTTTGAATAGTTTTTTATTATAAAATTATATATATATTTTTTATAAAAAAAATAAATAAATATAGAAGAATTACCAATATTAAAGAATAAAATTAAAATACTTACTAAAAAATATCAACCAAAAGGTCAATCACAACATATTAACTCAACATTTTTTTACATAATTAGAAGCACCACCTCTTAGCAAATGTACCATTCATGTGAAGATAAAATTCATCTTTCAACCTAAATTATAAAATGGCCTTGTTTAAGAGTTTCTTGTAATTGGTGGTGTAAAGTGAGACAAGAAAATGATAACAACAAAAGAAGAACAAACACAAAAAAAGTGAAATGAATTTAATCAAGCAATTATACATTTCAAAATTTGGTCACAATTTATACATTAGATTTTTACCTAATAAAAATAAAATAAAAAATTATATTTTAAAATTTTAAATTTTATTATACTTTTAATGATATAAGAAAAATATAAATTCAATATATTATGAATAAGTTATGAAATTTTGAAGATGAGAAATAAATAATTAAAAATTTATATAAAAATATTTTACCTCAAGAATAACTTACTTATACATCAAGAATTTGAGCTTCATTAAGGCTCATATGTAGTGTATAAAGATATCTTAGAGAGGCTTAGAGGCCTTAGTCTTATTTTCCTATCTATATCCAAGATACAACAACCTATATAGAACTTATGCACCTTCCTTCCTACAAGGACTATATCAATTATTGATACTCTTATTTTTTATTAGTTGAATTAATTTTTAATTTTTAATTTATCATGGTAATTAAAAAAAAAATACTCAATTATCTTAAGGACATAGTATGGCCTTCAAATCTTGCTCCATTTCTTCATAATAGCTCCCAAAGTCATAAAACTCAATTTTACCAAAGTCTTGAAATTTTCTCTAAAAACTCCTAAAACATTATAAATAAATTTTAGATAAAATTTTAAAATTCTTATAATATTTTATAATACTAATATCAATTTAAGACTACATTTTTTTATCTTAATAATTTATTTATAGTGATAAAAATAATTTAAATTAACTAAAAAGCCTAATTTTAATATAAATAACTAAAAAGACATGAGGTTCTTTTTTATATATCTTCTAATTATCAACTAAAATTTAGAGGTTTATTTATGTAATATATATATATATATATATGATCATTATAGATATTGGTCTCAATAGCTAAATATTAATATTTAATAATAAAAAAAAAATTAATTAAGATAATTTCCTCTAAGATTTATTAAGACTCTATTCTTATAATTCTTCATCTAATAAGACTCTTATATTTTCTAAAACAATTATAAATTCAAAAAATATTTAAATAATAAAAAAATCTCTAATATTAATATTTCTATAACTAAATGAGTTAAAATTATATTTTTAATCAATCCATTAATCAAAATCTATTAGTGGAAGTTATAGTTGACTACCAAGAAGGCCTTATGATAGCTTTTTATGGACCGTAAGGCTTGTGGTCTAAGTGTCAAGTTTTAGATAGCTTTAAATGCTAATTTTTGAAAATAAAAGACTCATAGGATAAGTTTTAATAATCACATGGCATATCAATAAAAGTCTAAACATTTATTTTACATCTTACAAACTTTTTTTCTATCTTTTTAAAGAAGATATTATCTATCTAATATTTTCTATCTATTTCTATTTATTTATATATACTTCTATTTATTTAACTATTATAGACATTAATTGCTATAATATCAATCATCAAATTATATCAAAACAACTTTACAAAGACATCTTTACAAAGACATCTTCAATAATCACATTCAACTTCCAATAATTTTTCTTCTTAGTTTTTAATATCTAGCCTTGCAAAGAAATTAAGATTTAGTTTGTTTCATTTCTTATTATATAAAATAAATACATAGTAAGTTAAATTAATTATTTAAATTTTTTTTTGCCATATAATATTTTAAAATTGATTGATACTATAGGTTATTAATTAAAAAAATAATTTATATTAATTTTTTATTGATTTAATTTAATATTTTTTAATGCCACATACATCTATTTTTTATACTTTTCTTTTTTAATTTTTTTTTATTATAAAAAACTAACAACTACAACCAAGAGTAGTAAATGGTTGTTCAAAAGAACTTCTTCAATCATTGATAATTTTTCTATGGTGTCATTTAAAATTAATCCATAATCTCTTATTCATTAATTGTTCTATTTTTCTTAAATATTATATTGAATTCTATGAAAAAGACTTTTATATTAAAATTTTCTTGATATATTTGATAAGATACTATCTTTTATGATTTTTGATTAATTGAGCCAATTGTAAATGATTGTTAATATTATAGAATGTGTGAAGTATATCTATATAATTTTATATATACTAATTGTCTTACTAGAATTGTCAAAGTTAAATTTGGTCAAGATTAATTGTCTTAATTTTAGATTGTCATGTGGATGTGTATTATAGCTGTAAAATTTTGTCCTCTTGAACTTTGGAGTTGTAGATAAAAACACACAGCTGATCTGTTTGATTTCTTGAATGTTCTCTTCCTAGTGGTATTATATAGAATCCATAAGTGCATGTCTTTTGAATAGATGTTGTTATTATTGAAAAAGTAGTAAATTATAATTTTTCATAGTAGATTTAAGTAACAACCTATGTTGTAACTATTAGATGCAAAAAGAAGTAACTTCAGTTCATATGTGTGTTTTCTTACCTAGATTGCAAGATTGAATTGAAAAAGCTTTACTCAAATTTTCACAAATTATGAGAAGATTAAATAAAACTTCAAAATCACTGAATACATTTCAATGGAGAATTCTACAAAGAAGAAAAACAATTTCATGCCAATACCTTCCAACATCGTTCAATATGCTAGTACCAAGACACAAACCCATGAAAGTGACTTAGCAACCCAATCCTCAGAACAAAGTATTAAGTCCAAACAAGAATAATACATGTTTATTGTTTGGAATATCATCCAAAGCAAGGGTCGTCAGAATCGCAATTGCCCACACCTTACGAAGCCATTATTTACAGGGTAACATCAGAGTACAGGCACTCTTCTTCCACATTTACCCGCTGAGAGATTTTCCTGGGTATAAAGTTGAGCACTATATACCCGCTGGAGGACAAGTTATCCAATCGTTTCCTCCAGGTATCAAAGTCCGAGCCTCATTGGGCCGCGTCTACCAGTGGCGGACTTCCTCTTATACCCGCTATTTGTGTCACCATGTGCGACCTAGGCAAAATATACCCGCTTCAGGACCTACTCATCCAGCCGCAGTATCAGGGTATCATTGCCCGTGTCTCATTCGGCCTCCGCCTGCCGGATGCGGAGCGGAGAACGTTGGAGGCAGAGACAATCGGACAAGCTTAGGCGAGAGTGATCCCGCCTCGCTCTTCGTCACTGGACTCAATCCCTGCAGGAATCGGCCTCGATTTCGTGTTGCTACAGCAATGGATTCAGGTTTGTGGGTTTCCCAAGATACCCATCTTATTTACCCATTCAGAATGGCTCTTTCTCTGTGTTTGGGGAGCTCCTTGGAACTAATGCGTTAGTAATTTGTTTCAGACTAGCGAGGTTGAAGCAAGTTTCTGTGTTAGGGTCATGAAATCTGCGCGGTTGTGAGGATCTCGAAGTGAATTTTCCTGGTTGCGTAATTGGATGTCTGGAAGGAATCTAGGGTTTTCGCAAAGTTGATTAGATGGAGCTGGATTTCACTTTCATCTTGTTTATTGTAGACTGAGTCTAGAATTTTGCGCCCTGTTTGCTGCTGTGATGTGTTGCATGTATTTGATCGCGTAGTACTAATTTTTAAATATCCTGGAACTTGGTCCCACGATTCCTTTGAAGCGAACTCAAGTACAGATAGAGTGGTGGATTAATCATCGCGATGGCAGGGGCGTGCCGTGAATCCGCTGTTCAGGATAGGGATAGTTTTTGTATCAGGTCCAGCTTGCATTGTTATATGTGGTTTTTCTCCTACTTCTGATGTGGATTTTGCAATTCACAATCGTGGACAAATGAGCTACGTCCAACACGAAGATTGTTTTTAATTTTTTCGCTGTAATCTTTCTGACAAGGTGAAGGTTTGATGATTTCTTGGTATGTTTGGTTTGATTTGATTGGCCTTCCACAAAATTTTTGGATTTAAATGTACAAGTTCGGGACTTGTTGGGGTTGCGGATCTTCTTGCATACTTTTTGACTCATAACCTAGAAGAATTGTTGAACTTCAAGTCTGCTTGCAACGTATTAGCAGAAGATTGGTTGTCCCGAAGGCAAAGACATACTCCACCCAGCTTCATTATAATGGTGAACTATATATTTGTTTCCTTATTTAATCGATGTCTTTTGCTGGACCTGATCACAGATGCCGACATGGAAGATTATGGGTTCGAGTATTCGGACGAGGAACCCGAGGAGCAAGATGTTGATATTGAGAATCAATATTATAATACCAAAGGTATGCGTTGACACGAAGCCGCTGTTTTTTGCAACTTATCGTCTGATTTACCTCATTTTTATGGTGGTATGGTTTATATTCTAAATTTAAACATGGGGCGATCATCCTGAACAATTATGTCGAAACGGTTCGATATTTGTTATAACCATGCTGCAAACACTATAGGATTGGTAGAAGCTGATCCTGAAGGAGCACTGAAGGGATTTGCAGAGGTTGTAAGGATGGAAGGAGAGAAGGGGGAGTGGTAAGATTTAGCATTTTTTCTTGATAATTTCCGAAGCATCTTTTCCAGTATGATGAGGAAAAAAATATTCTAGTCTTGCAGTTGGTTAGTAGAGTAATTTTTGATTTTGATGTGTTGTCATCAACTTATTAGCCTTCACTTCCAATGGGCTTTGCTGCAGCTCTACAAGTAGTCAGACTGACCTTCTCAAAACTTTTTATGAATGCAGTTGTTTCCTGGGATCATTAATTATGGTGCTACGATCGTTTCTGGTAGTAGATTTCCGGGGCAAAACTGAGTGTTTGACACGTTGTCAGGGGTTTTAAGGCGCTGAAGCAAACAGTGAAGCTCCACTACCGGATTGGAAATTATAAGCAAATGATGGTTGCTTACAGAGAGATGTTGACTTACATCAAATCGGCTGTTACGCGCAATTACAGCGAAAAATGCATCAACAACATCCTCGACTTTGTGTCAAATGGCGCTAATCAGAACTTGGAGTTACTTCAGGAGTTTTATCAGACTACCCTGAAGGCTTTGGAGGAAGCCAAAAATGAGGTTAAATATGCCACTATTTTTTAACGGTTCTCTAATTCGGTTCAACATGTTTCAACTTCATTCGTGTGCTGAGTAGACAGATGTATCATTTATAGTGTATAGATTAATCCATTTCTATGTTTAGAGTGTTCGATTCTTCTCTTTGCAATCCAGACAGCACTTTTTCGATAAATTGATTACAGGGCTTGCTTTTGTTACCTTACCTTTTGGATGATGTTAATCTGTTATTATTGTAGACCTCTTCCTATGGATCACTCTTTTACAGAGCTAAATTATTGAGATGGAGTTAGCACAGAACTTTACTGGTTGCACCAGAGTTAGATCCTTGTAAGATAATAGATCTTTTTGACATGTATCGAAATCCTGTACATATTCAGAAGATTTTGTTTTTATTTTTGCATTTACAGAGGTTATGGTTCAAGACAAACTTGAAATTGTGTAAATTGTGGTTTGATATGGGAGAATATGGTCTTATGAACAAAGTAAGTATTCTGCCCGTTGACTCCTCAACTTTATTTTCATATCTTTCAACTTTATCTAGTATTGAATGATTTCGTTTACTCGGAATACCAGTACTTTTCAAAATGGGATGTAATGTGTAGTAAATTCCTTGTTCTGAGAAAACTTGTGATACTCACAGCTTGTCGTACGTGCAGATTTTGAAGGAGCTCCATAAATCTTGTCAGAAGGAAGATGGTACAGATGACCAGAAGAAGGGCACACAATTGCTGGAGGTGTATGCGATAGAGATTCAGATGTATACAGAGACCAAGAACAACAAGAAGCTCAAGGTTATTTCAACTGGCTCCCTGTTATAGTCTATCGCATTCTGCTTAGACGAAACAATTTATTATGTTCTTTTAGCTCTCCCACTATAAATCTTTAATCATTAAACGTCCACGAAGGCATTTCTAATAAAGTATCCATTGTACGAACGAGGAATTGAGAGGACAACTCCATCGAAGAATACATGGACTCTAATAGTAGTTTTTTCAACTTGTCCTACCCAGTATTAGAATACTACTATCCGTTTAGATCTGTTCATTTTGTCATTTTCATTAGGCTAAACTTGGCATTCAAAGCTTAACATTGCACGCTTTTACTTCTGAGCCTGGCAATTCTTTACTTAAAGTTATTGGTGTTAGCAAAGCTGTGATAGATGGTTTGTATAGTTGTTTCATTGGATTGGTGTTGATTATCGTCAGTGTGAATTTTACAGCAACTATACTTGAAAGCGTTGAACATAAAGTCTGCAATCCCACATCCACGCATTATGGGTATCATCCACGAATGTGGTGGCAAAATGAATATGGCTGAGCGACAGTGGGCAGTTGCCGCCACCGACTTTTTTGATGCATTCAAAAACTACGATGAGGCTGGCACCCACAGGAGGATCCAATGTCTGAAGTGAGTTTGTTTGGTACGCTTAAAGTTTCTTGTATCATGAGTTTGTTTGGAGTTTCAGTAACAACTTCCTGAAGCATACTCTTCTGAGTGACGAGAACTTTGTTAACAAGGTTTTGGATGGGATTGCAGGTACCTGGTACTTGCTAACATGTTGATGGAGTCTGAAGTGAACCCATTTGATGCTCAGGAGGCTAAACCGTAAGACTCTGAAGTTAACTGAAAAACGCACTTGAATTAGCAGATTGATACACTCTAAAAGTTTGTGATATGATAACTGATTTACTCAAATGTAATGCTTCGTGCAATGTCTCTTGGATGTATTGTTTGCTCTGATTGCTCAAATTTTCCCGGTCTTTAATTCTAGGATTCTTTCGAAGGTAAACTTAGTCAGAAAGACTCGGCACTTTGTTGATATATCTTGCGAAATGAACAGTGATTTTCCTGATGGAGTTGATGATGTGTTGCTTTTAAGTTACACTCATGTAATGTTCGTGATCATACCCAACAGTGATATATCTTCTTGTTATCTTTCTAAATGTCAGTGAAGTGGGCATCGAATACGATTTACTCCTTGTTATTATTTTTCATCCGTTCTGGTGTGGCATCTGTGTTGCTACAGGTACAAGAATGACCCTGAAATTCTAGCGATGACAAATCTGGTGGCTGCTTATCAAAGGAATGAAATTCTTGAATTTGAAAAAATCCTCAAGGTACAGTCACCTCTGTCAATTTTTGGAGAATGATGATAAGCTTGACATGAAGCTCTTCACGTCAGGTTATAAACTACCATGATCTAGCTGGAAAAGGTTGCGCCCGGGTCCACATGTGATACCCACAGTATGATAAGTTCTGTGTTGGATTCATGTGCTCGTTTCGTTGTGTAGAGTAACAGAAAGACAATTATGGACGACCCCTTTATACGGAATTACATTGAAGATCTGCTAAGCAAAATTCGCACACAGGTGTTACTGAAGCTTATCAAGCCTTACACCCGAATTCGCATTCCCTTCATATCTAAGGTGCATCTTTTGTGCCTTTTCCTTTCACGCCGAATAGTCTACAAAAGGTTTCACTCAAGTGTCGCACTTCTGTAGGGAAGTCCACGTCTTAACAAGAATCATTTCTGTTTGAAAACGTCTTCTTCGCACCCGTTTTGTTTGGATGCAACTCATTTTGAGAAGGATTATATTGTGTTAAAAGATTTTGATCTGGATTCAGCTGCTAATCGTGATTGTTTACTTGGAGCGCAGGAGCTGAACATACCTGAAAAGGATGTGGAGCAACTTCTTGTATCCCTCATTCTAGATAATAGAGTCCATGGTCATATTGATCAAGTGAACCAATTGCTTGAGCTTGGTGACAGGTACTTGCGATCTACCCTTTGTTTTTTTGCATTTTGGACTACCCGATCTTCTGTCTGTGGTTTTTGAGTAGCCTAAATAATGCTGATTGGCCAGGCACCTGAGGATCTTGGTGTATGAAAACAGGTCGAAAGGGCTGAGGAAGTACACGGCGATAGATACATGGAACACCCAATTAAAGTCGCTGTCTCAAACAGTATCGGCAAGAATTTGTTAAGATCGTGAAAGAGAATCCTATTACTTCGGTGCACGAATAGATGTGACGATATTGTCACATGTTTCTTCGCTACTGTATATTTTCGACGCTATGGTCCCAACCTTTCGAGGCTTTATTGGATAACCATTTCGTCTGAGACAACATCCAGAGGAATCCCATTGGTGACCTCGTCTCCGAGTAGATTGAATTATCTTGGTGTATGGTTTTGTAGGTACCCCTTCTGGGACAAGTAAAGAAATGGAACATAAAATGTTAAGATACGATCTAAAATCTGTCGCGACCTCATGAAAACTCTAGCTCATTTTGTATGTTTATTTGTGCATGAACCATGTCATCTGTTGCCCTTGTCGGCACACATTCTCAGCAAAATGGAGAGGTCTTAGATCATTGAAGTTGTCTATTATGATAGTTACATGGAAGGTATCAAAATTTACACGATGTCTGCATCACTGAGGTTTCTATGGTTTCGCCTTCGATAGACATGTAGATAGATAGATAGATATAAAGATATCTTCCTCTGTTATTTGGCATCTGATCAATCGCTTTCCCAGCGTAATAAGTTTGCAGAAAGGAGGAGACCGCTGATCAAAGTAGACGGAATCTAGACATGGGATATCGCCATTAACTAGAAAAGAGCTACAGGAGGGCACACGACCCAAGAAAGAGCCGTCATCATTGTTGTAACAATGGACATAGCATGTTCCCCAGTTTCCACTCTGCTGGCTGCAAATAAAGGCAATAACCGGAAAAAAGCTTGAATTGTGGCAGTCCAGCCTCAAACTCTGCCCCTGGGAAGTGTGATATTTTCTCATGATCTGACAGTTGTCAGTAGATTAACAAGCCCACTGCCTTTTGAAACTAGTGTGGATCGAATCATCCTGTCTAGCCCCAAGTCAGAGTAAACAAATTTCTTGTTGATTACAACCCACAAAACTTCTAATCCTAAAAACCATCGATAGGTCTGTGTACCATTTACTGCAGATATCAACAACCGCCATCTTCTTCATTGAAGACTTCGAAAAGAAAGCCCATCAATTGTGCATCTACTTTTCCCCCGTTTCTTTTACATATTATTCCTCTTCATTTTCAAACCATTCTAGTCTGCCCTCACTAACCACTGCCAAAAAAGATGGGATTCTGTTTTCCAAGTACACAAAAGAGTCAAGGTTTGTTTAAGATTTTTGAGAATGTCATGAAAGAAATTTTTTTATTTACATAATTACAGCTAGGTTCTGTTTTCATTGTATTGCATTGTAGAAGATTGGGGATATGTGATAGAAGATGTTAGGGTAGCAACTTGACACATCAACAAGAACAATTAATTTCATGCAAAAGGATGAAGAAGCAATTGCAAGGATGAAACTGTATGAACACATGACAAATTATTATAAGTTTATTAAAAATTTATTTAAAGCTAAAAACCTGGGCCTTTCTATATATATATATATATATATGTATATCTTTGTATATATATACATATATATATATATATATTTATTATTTATTTATACCAAAGTATTTTTTTTCAATAAAATAAAATAAAATAAAATCCACCTTAATAAAACCCATTTACAAAGTTCTAACTATCAATTATTTTTCATAGATTTCTTTTTCTATAATTTTACAACTTGTTAGCAAAAGAAGGATGTTATGTTGTTATCTTAGGAATAAACAATTTTATACATCTAATTTACAATTTAAAATAGTTGGATATGAAAAATAAATTTAATATATGTGGTTGAATATACTCTATTTTAAACTATAAAATTGGACAATTTTTTTTAATGGTCTTCATGCTATTAAATATGTTGATTCTTAAATATTATTTTGCAAAGTACATTTAAAAAATTAAACTTTATAATTAGCAATATTGTGTAAAATACAATTAAAATCAAACATAAATATCCAATCAATTATACATGTAGTTATCTTTATACATACAATATTTATTATAGTTTAAATAATAACCAAGATCATTATAGTGGATAAATTTTTTATATTTTTATAATAAAAAAATCATTGAAAAGTGATAAATTGGTAATGGGATTAAAATGTTTACTTATAGATATTGTTTCATTATCAAGGATCCAATCTTATTTTAGATTTTGTATAGGCAATTATGATGCAAATTTTTTACATTATACTTTGAGATTTTTACTAAAGATGTACTTGAGTATATTCTAGAAGGCAAGCCAAATTTTAGAAGTTTCTAATTAAAAGACCTTTGAAATTTGAAATTTTGATTGTTAACTCTTTGAAATTGAGATTCTTTAAGTACTTATGTTCCTTGAGAATAACTTTGATCAAATCATCCAAAATTATTATTAAAACATAATGACACAAAAAATATTAATAAGAAAAAATTTGTGTGTTGAAATTAGCTCTTAGAAATTTTAAAAATTGATCTAATTTTAAAACAGTTTAAAACTAAACCCCCGTATGCAAAAATGCTTGCTAATTCTTCAAACCATATTGGGTTGATGTGAGATTTTTACCACTAAATTGCACTTCAATTGGAATCTAACATCAGACACCAGATTAAGGAGAAATGGATCACTGGAATTTCAGTAATCCAAAGTTACAATATTTGCACTGCGAAATAATGGAACATCTTGTTTCCATGCGAAAAAAGGTATCTTCACCTACATTGCTTGAACTTGCTACACGTGGAGGCATTTTAAGTTTATGAAGCAAAAAATACATGATACATGTGAATTCTTTCAGGGTAACAGATTCTTTTGAAGCTGTGCTATAAACTTTTCAAAACCTTTTTGAATTATCAGATTATTGTTACAAAAAGTTACTCTTTCGAGTGGAAAACTTGATATTTCTAAGTTTAAAGGCGCTACTGGAAGTAATGGAGGATAATACTTTCACAATGACAAACATAATGTGAGATGCTTGCATTGCTTCACCACGGACGAACTTTCCAAAACTGTTTTACAAAGTTTCAAGCCACTAGAAGAACTGAAAAGCTAGCAAAATTGATGCCTGTAATGTAAAAGAAGGAACATTTAGTTCTCTTCAACAGCGGTAGGAGGGGAACTGGGGATCTTTATTGCATGATTCATACGACACTTGCCTATTCTAGCTGGAAATTGTGTGGGCTTCATTCCAAGATCAATACATATTGTACTCAGCAACATGTCAGCCCAGTGGTGGCACCGATTTTTGCATAGGTTTTCAAACACTTGGAACCGTGTATGGATTCACTGTACCAGTTTTGCTCATTCATGGTCCTAGCTCCTTGCTGACCAACGACAAGCACACATTCACTTGCCAAAATATCCAAGAGTTGGTGCGTATTGACCGAGGACAATACGTTGACAGAAATATATTATATATATCATCCGGGTTTGAACTTTGTTACTCCCCCACTTACAACGGTGACGACGTGGTGCTGGATAGTAGATGCTGCTTTATCAGGCCACCCAATTTAGGCTGGACGTCGGAATTTGCGGGGTCCAATTAAGCAGTTGTAGTTTTAACAAACATATTCTATGGTATTCTAGATTCCTGGCGTTGACCAAAAGCCAAACTTTAGCCGTTTGCAGACTTCCATTTTGTCTGCAAATGCAGGGACCTTAATTAGTCTCACTCCTTGGCACTACAAATTATGTGTTAATTTTCTCCGAAACTATCGTGCGGAGTCCAGTCCTTCGTACCATCCTGAGACCATATTAACTTAGAATACACCTCTTGTTCACTGACCATGATGCAACAAGTTGCACTCAGTGAGTATATTCGTGAGAGTAAGATTTGTAGCAGGCTAGGGACAAGGGAATGTGAATCACTTGCAAGAAGTAGCATGGAAATGTTGATGTCAGTAATATGAGTGACAAACGTGTGTGAATCGATGTCGTTACCATATTTTGTAACTCTCTGAAAGATGTCCGAAGTGAAGGTAGGATTCGCAGCGAATGATCAGTTTGTACCTTAACTGGTAACTAAATTACTGAGAGCTGCATTTGTTGATCCCTGAGGTACTAATTGATGCGAACTTTTAATTTGAGAATCATGGCATCCAGTGGTGGTCCGTATCCATAGTGTGCAGCGAATAAGTGTCCGGCAACGCCACAACAAGGATGTTCTGGCTACATCACCGACCTAGCGAGCAACCAGACAGCCCAAAGTTTTGTAGCATGCTGCCAGATTCTGTGTGGTCGATCCGCAAACGAGTGGCTGCTGGCGCCAGAATGTGGGGACGAAACAACGGCAACAGCGGTGGGCACCATTTTCGACAATATGCTGCTCTTGCTTGTTGGAGGGTACATTCTGGTGATTGGACCGTTTCTGAAGATGAAGAACATGACGCACTGGATCACGACCATCGGGTTGCTTATCCTCATGACGTGAACGGGGATGTTCGTGAGGAACGTGACGAGCCCGTTCATGGTGATAAATGGGCGGTCTCCAATCCGGTACGAATGGGGGCCGCTCGAAGCGGGGTACCTAATTGGAGGCGGTTGCACAGGACCATGTTTTTAGAAGGCAGGATCAACGGGTGCTTGACAAGGCATCATCAGAGCTCGTGGGTTTGTTTCAGAAAGCATGCATGGAAGCAGCTGCTGCGGATCTGATGTGTTAGCCAAGTACCAGCAACATCAAGCTGAGGATATGCATTCGTGCAGGCGAAACCAACAGGATTGGTGAGTTTGCATCCCCATGTTGCTTCTACCTTCTTGTGAGTTGGTTTGTATCATTCTGCACACTGTGTACTCTCTATCACGATCGTTGTTTGTTTGTTCGATATCTGACATGATCTGTTGTCAATAGTTATGCACAGCTGTACTTCCCACTTTATAACATGCTGTGGGAAGTGGATCCAGGCTTGCAAGTCTTGGAGTGTGCGAATGAGCGTTGTCAGAAAGAAAGATGAGAATGGAGGGTTCTGGTGCTTTTGATTGAAAGCTGTTTCATTGGAAATGGGTGCACCCACCTAAAGTCTATACTCTACACTTGGCTTTCAATCAACAACACCAGAACATTCCATTTTCATCTTACATTCTGACAATGTTCATTCTCACACTTCAAGACTTGCAAGTGCTCAGAATGACTCAAACCAACTCACAAGAAGGCAGAAGCAACATGAGGATGTAGACTCACCAATCCTGTTAGTTTCGCCTGCACCTGCACCACTATATCCTCAGCTTGAAGTTGCTTGTACTTAGCAAACACATCAAATCCTCAGTAGCCGCTTCCATACGTGCATTTAGAAACAAACCCACTAGCTCTCTAACTATCTCTTGTCAAGCAACCTTAGTAGTGGCTTCCATACAT